CATTTATCTAAGACTATCGAAGACCAGAACATATTGAAAGGTTGAGGTTTTCCATTCCGTTGAGACACTTGAATAAACTGATGCAACTTATCACCTTGATCTGAACAAGTTATTGTCCCTGCAACAAAGATTGTGACGCCAAAAACTCCCAGTCAGAACATACACAAGGAAGGCAGCAAGCAAACTCACCGTTTCAAGGGCCAAGGCTATGAGAATGAAGGATGACGTCCTTTTGGTTGCGACTAGCCTCGATGCCTTGCATTGTTGTTGCTCTGTTGGATAGTACTATAAAGATGCACCTTGTAGACATTTTCAAATCCTTCCTGTCATTGTTAGCCCTCCCCGCTCGATGCTCATCTCAACGGGGAATTTCAGTTACCGCGTTGAATTGGTCGACGTTGATTGCACCTACATTAATATTACACTGTCAAAGATGGTATCAGAATCACCATATTTTCATCCAGTTGATCAATGAGAATTTAAAGGAGTTGGAACTACACACTTATCTTTTCATTACGCTGCAACCACGCTCATGACTTATCCCAAAGCCTTCATGATCAAGCTCCATCAAAGGTCGCGAATGCCACTTCTGGATGTCGGCAAGCAACGGGTGCATAGATGCAATCCAACCTGACAATTAAAGGAAAAATCCATTAAATGAACGAACCATAAACATTGATTCTTTTCCGTTCCAAAACAATTACTAAAACATGTAACAGAGCTTGCAAATTACAACTTTTAGAAGCACAGAAGGGAAATGACTAAATCTATGAGTAAGGATGAGCTTGTAGCTCAGTGAAGAAAATACCTGATGACCCAACTACTTGGTATCAGTCACAATCTTGATTCAAAATTTTGGAACTGATAGAGAGGGCGTGATTCCACTCCCGTCGTTGAGAAAAGGATATTCGGGCTTCCCTCAATAGTGTTCAAGGCAATGGCAGTATAAAGAAAAGAGTTGAGGTTAGTCTGTATAGCCATCATTGTTGGCTCATCGTGAACAAAAAATAACCAGAGGAATCACATCAAGCTTTGTCCCTGATATGATGACAGGATTACCAATAAGAATTCATCGATAGCACTTTAATACAATGTTAGTTCAGAATTTTGGAGTCTTACTCTATAAGAGATGAAGGCCACAATGTCGGTAAATCTAGCATTATTAAACATGGGTCTGATGTCGACTTGGCAACCAACAACCGAAGATTTCCTGCGAAATTTAGCATCAGTAACCGTCCACCTCCACCGCTGTCGCTACAGTCATCAGTGTCGAACATAGTTACTTCCATTCCGACCAATTCACCTCAAAATGGTTAAACCAACTGAACACGATACCGAAAGCATCACAGTACAAGCATTAGTGCAGCATTTCAACAACACCATCCTTTGCAGTCATCAGCAGAATAGAATTCGCAACAGCAACACGAAGCGACACCAACATCTCATCAGCTGCGAACGGAAAAACCAGCATTTCAACACCAGCTTGAACAACGGCACTATAAGCTGCAAAATAGAAGAATAAAGGGAAGTGATTAGATTATGAGCATGAGTGACTCGAGTGTAACCAAACCAAATGCGGAAAGAAGGATTACAATGGACCCTAACTTGACATGTTACCATTGGTTCTACATCATTGTCTTTTACACCACTTTTTCCTGAGGAAAACAACATGACCCTCGCGGTTCCTTGTGCAACTACGTTTGTGTGTAAATTCGCACATAGCCCGCAGTCCAACCGAGCGGTACCAGTTTAAGGAATCACTGCAACTGCTAAAGCATAGCAATAATGGTGTCAACAGAACAAGTCAACCATCGAGAAACCGCATACTTCCAAACAGACCCATCGGTTCACATGGTACCAGCACCTCACCATTCTCAAGAAGCTCCAGCTTTTGTTGCCGTGGACGGAGGTTCTTGTTATTCCCTCTAGTTTATTCCTGTCACAGGTTCAACGAGAATTCAAAACTCAACACATGTGAGAAATCTGGCATACATGATAATTGAGAGGATATGCATTCCTTGTTACCTGCGTATCAGCAACACACTTCAGACAAGCAAGGTTCATGGAAAACAAGAATCATTTTCGTAAAAAACCAGTATCCAATTCGTAAGAGGAAAACTGAAAGAGAACTTATCTTCCAAATGAGGCTCAATTCACAAAAAAGGAAAGTTTGCCGACACGGTCCAAATAAGCCAAAAATACCACTCGTGTTGTTCCTGCAAAATCAAAACAAATTCAAGTTATTTCTAAAACAACTTTAAACGTAATCCCGACATGTTGGGACGAGAGTAGAAGGTGTTCAAAGCAATGTTCATCACATTCAATGCAAAGATTCGTCAACAAGAGCCTATAAAAGCAGCAACAATCATATAACACAAAAAAAGATAGAGAAGAATCCACAGTCCACAGAAAAGTCCCAGATTCAACAAAACCCTAAAATTCGTAAAAAGGGGGGGACTTAGCCTTTTTTTGAGAAGCTCGCCGCAGCCGAGAACTTCACTATCGCTTTCAGGCCCTCGCGTCCATCACCACCGTAACCCTTTCCGTCATCATCGTTTTCGTTCTTGACCTGCATTGCGAGTCATCCGCGATCCACACCAGCACCCCTCTAAACCGGAAAACTCTAAGAACGGTTTGAGGAGGAATTGATGAAAGGTGAACAGGGAACGAAAGAGGGAGAATGAGAGATTGAAGAACGACGGAAATCTAATGATGAGGGAGACCGAGACGGAGACGCAGAACAATCGGCGACGAAAGAGGGGAAATTGAAAGGGATTAGGTTTTTTTCTCGTTTTTGTGCTGTTGTAATCTTGTGCGTGTGTGCTTAACATAGTGTAATGAAACCTCACCTCACAGACACTTATCACCTCTTGATCACGATCTAACGATCCTCACGTCGCACACCCACCGTAAGCCCAGACCTGCGCCCCCACACAATCTATCCGCCTAACTAATCCTCCATTAACTCCACTAATCAGTTTTCTAATTAATCAGTAAACCTAATCAACTTTTTTTTTTTATAAAATTAACTAATAATCTTCTCAATTAACCGTTATTATTTAATTTGATAGACTTTCTTAAAACAATTATTATAGTTTTTTTCTCTTTAAAAATCCTTAAGTATAACTTAATTTCTTTTAATAATAAAATCCAATTTCCCATTATCTAAAAATATTTTTATTTCGTTAAGGATAATAAATAAAACCTCTTTGTAATAACTTAAGTAAAAACAAACAATTTAAAAAAATCATCTTTCATAATCTAGTAACATTTATTTGTTAATAACAATGATTAAACCTTTTTATATCAATAAAAAAAACCGTCTTATTAAATTAACCTTTTTATGATGACAATAAAACCTTTTGACCTAAACTCAAGCTCTAGCTTTTTAATTAAGAACTTTTTAAAATAACTTATATATAATAAAAATCCAATTCATAAAGCCAACCATTCTATTTTATTAAAAATTCACTTCATGACCCACTATAATAACTTTAACAAACCTTCATAACCAGAAACTTTTTATAATTAAAATAACATTTGGTAATAATAATTTTTGAACCCTTCTTTTAGAGCCATTCCCTTAAGTGACTTAAAATCAAATCTCACCAAATAATATTTTCTTATAAGTCAATCCTACAACTTAATCAATCCCCCGTCAACTTAATCTAATCGTGCACGCTTACAGTCTCGCTCCAATTCCACGCACGTATTCACAACTCACTCACCTTCACACACCTTAGCGCTTTCATGCGTGTGTATGCTCTACTATATTCGCAATTTATCTTCTGCAATTTAACATTACAGCAATTTACTTTTCTCGCATCGCATCTCATCCAAAGGAAAAACCTACACATAAGTCAACAATCGTGTGTAGTGCATATCATTCGCATCATATTCCCCTTGATCCTTGATCTCATTCAAGTCGATCTCCTAGGATAGATCTTACCCCATAGGAAGGACTGTTCTTTATACTACAACAATATTTCAACAACTCAAAACAATATCCAAACACATTAGAGAAAGATGTCAGATCATCTTAAGCGAGATAAAATCTCCACCCCACATCAACACAATCAAACCGTAGGGACTTTGCCTTAAGAGAGATAAAGGTGTACCTCGTTGATCCCTATTCGAGTACGTAAGTCCTTTTCTTAAGACGATGCAAAGACTATTTTCCTACAACCTGTGGCGGTTAAATCTCCCTTAAAATGAAGACACATCTCTTCTCCTAGAATCAATCAACCAACTACCCTAAACCCGTAGGAACTTTGACCACAGTCAAAGAACTCCTCCAACCCTTTAGGGGAACTACAAATACTCTGATTCCACTCCCGTAAGGATATGTAGGCATAAGATGCGATATCTTATCGAGTATACTTAGATATAAACCATTAAGGTCTTTTATACGTTAAGCAGATAAACACTTAGCAATAAACAATATAAAACAAGAGGTTTCTGTAGAGTACTGCAGAAACTTAAGATGCTAGCACCTTCCCTAAGTTTAACCAACCCCCCGAACCTATGACTCTCTAGCTTGCATTGTGGGAATTTCGATCTTTATCCCTTCCTTTGGACAAATCAAAGTTCGGTTGCAAATGAATAAAGATTCAAACTAATCAATAGTTTGGTATCCAAATTTCACCGCGACAGTGCCCATAAGAATTCCTGGTTTGACTGTCATCGTCATTTCTTACCAACTAATCACTCTTCCAGAAGGAGTAAAAGAAGTTTCATAAAAAATAGGGTTGTGAAAGACGACCCACCTCCCGTTTCCATAGGTCAAGATATATGGGCAGTAATAAGTAATTTTCTAAAAGTGACTGGAATTGGATGGGAATAAAAATGGAAAGAGTTTGAAGGGTATAGAGTTGATCATAATTGGAAAAAAGCGAAGTATTTTTTAGGATCTCCCATATTGTAAGGATAACTTGTTAAGGCACAACCTCGATGTGATGCACATAGAAAAAAATGTCTTTGATAATATATTTAACACTGTCATGAATGTTAAGGATAAAACAAATGATAACGAAAAGGCGAGAGAAGACTTGGCTAAATTATGCTTTCATGGGGACTTAGAGCTCCAACCCTTAACTAACGGAAAGAGGGGTAAACCAAAGGCAAGCTACACTCTAACGAAACCTGAAGTCAAGTTGGTTTGTAAATGGTTGAAGGAATTAAAAATGCCAGATGGCTATGCTTCAAACCTCTCTAGGTGTGCCAATGTCGAAAAGGGTACGGTGCATAGGATGAAGAGCCATGATTGTCATGTTTTCATGGAGTGTTTACTCCCAATTGCATTTCGTTCATTGCCGGATTTGGTTTGGAAACCATTAACTGAGCTAAGTCGATTCTTCAAAGACCTTTGTTGCAATACGTTAAGGATGGATGACTTAGTTAAGTTGGATAAGAACATTCCAGTTATCATATGCAAGTTAGAAAGGATATTTCCACCTGGTTTCTTTGACTCAATGGAGCATCTTCCAATCCATCGTTCTAAAGAAGCAATGTTAGATGGTCCAGTACAGTATCGGTGGATGTATCCATTCGAAAGGTAATGGTTATGGTTGCTTTTATTTAGTAATTACTTGCTTATCATAACTTAATAGACGTGGTATGATTGAATGTGCAGATTTATGGGACTCTCAAAGAGGGCAGTGACAAATAAGGCTAGAGTTGAAGGTTCCATATGCACTGATTATATACATCGTGAGACAAATTACTTTTGTTCTCATTATTTCAACTCATTCAGTTTGTTGCCAAACAAAAATATTTGTAACAATCCTCGTTCAGACCATGATGACATCCTACCTACAATGTCCCTCCTACACAGTGGTGGTCGACCAAGTGGGAAGTCTGGAAAACATTATCTATCAGATAAGGAATGGAAGTGTTCACATTAGCATGTCTTGATAAATTGTGATGAGGTCAAACCATATCTTGAGTAAGTATGCATCATAACACATCAATCAAGATCTTGATGCATATCATGATAAATATTTACTCATGAATCATGTGGTTGATTGCAACATATTCTTAGAGAGTCATTATATAAGTATAGAAGATTCATCTGGACAACTACATATAGAGTTTCCCATATGGTTGAAGAAATATGTAAATGAGAAGACAAATGGAGTTACCAACAAAGACATAATTTCCTTATCACATAGTCCTTCATCATTGGCAATCTCTTGGAACATGTACTTTGTAAATGGGTATAAGTTTCATACCGAAGAATGGAGCAAAGGTAAAAAAAAAACTTTCAATTGTGGTGTGCACGTGAAAGGTCTCGCTGAAGGAGGAAACGATTTTTTATGGCATAATCAAACATATCTATGAACTAGATTACTTTGGTTTGAAGGAGAAGATTCCACTTTTTTATTGTGAATGGTTTGACCCAACAAAGAACACAGTAACAAAGGTTCATCCACAATATAAAACTGTTGATATTAAGATGGATAAGCGTTATCGTCCTTATGATAATTTCATCCTTGCGCAAAATGCAAGACAAGTGTATTATGTCCCATATCCAAAAATGTGTAGAGATATGCATGGATGGTGTGCGACAATCACCACAAAACCAATGGGTCATGTGATGATTGATAACATAGAGGATGAAATGCCATATTAGTCTGATGGGATGTTACCTGTTCTACCCACTATTGAAATTGAATCAATATCTCGTTTGCGTGACGACACAAGTAGATGTGTTTGAAGAGATTTTTGATACGTAGTGAAGCAGCGATAGGATATTGATTGAATATGCACAACTATGTTATGGTTTATTATATGTATTTTGTATTCCAATATCTTGATGAATATGATATTATCATTTCTCTTTTTCTTAAGTGTTACTGCTCTAAATTTGGGATATTTTATTCCTTTTGACTGTTCTAAATTTTAGTCATCATGGTTTTCTTACTTGGGCATAGCACTTTCATTTTCAAAGTTTAAAAAACTTTGTAATGTGGGAAATAACTTTAACTCTGCCAAGTCTTAAGAAAGACCTCTAGATAGTTTCATGTGATCTCTTGTGAACAAAAAAATATGTACAACTCATGTATAGTGTGCTATTATTAGTGTATGACTGATTAGTATCTCCTAATTTTTGGTGTCATATATCAATATTAAGTTTTTTTTGTCAATATGCATAAAACATGTGTCATGGTTGAAAAGAAATGAGTAATCATAATATAAGCAGTTAGTTTAAAACTCAGGCTGAATGACAACATATTTAGTTAATGATATATACTAGTATAAAATATGTGCTAGTATAAAATATATAATAGAGAACATCTACTGTCATAGTTATTTCTTCAATTGTTTCGAAAGAGGAGAGGAAAATCCAACATAATAGAGAACATCTACTGTCATAAAATATGTGCTAGTACAACATATTTTAAGATGCATTTTATAGTTATTTCTTCAATTGTTATTATATTTTTGTCTAAGTTTTTTGTATTTTATGACAACAGATGACTAACAGAAGTGAAGGTGAGAGAGAAAGTAAAATCCAAAAAAAGGAAAATCTAAGTGTTTAGCACCTGGAAAGCTTATTGATAATTGGAATAGCATATTTCGAAAGAAATCTACATTTGTTCAGTCATCACAAGCTACTACAGCACCGACTCCACTAACAACTCAGACTCCATCGTCGGCTCTGACTTCATCGTTGGCTCCGACTCCCTCGGTTGCTTCGACTCATTCACCTACTCCGAATCCATTTCCAGTGTGGGCTGCACCGGTCCCGCGGACTGCACTGATTTTGCAGACTGCGTCGGTGCCGCAGGCTGTACCACCATTGCAGACTACATTGTCATCTGCACCAAATCATGCCTCTACCTCTGAGGTATTTAGGTTTATGCCTACTTTGGGTTTAAACATTCAAAATGTAGTTGTCCATCTAGATCATGCCTCACGTGAGATTCCGATGGAGGAAAATGAAGAGGAAATTGAGGATGAGGACGAGGATGAGGTGGTCGTGGGTGAAGGTAATGTTCCCCCTCATTTGATAATAAGGGATGATAATGGGAAGGTTATTATACAAACTTGTCGTAGCGGGTAAGTTAAGTTTAAAATATTTATTCCATATTGTAACAGGCTTCAACATTACCGTTGGTTTCAACATTATATCATATGACATCATTGGTTTCATTCAATATTGTAGGCTTGTTCCGGCCAAAGAAGTAGCAAATGCCATTAATTATGCAATACACAAACAATTTTATAGGGGTTTCTATATTGTTTTTTGTGGTAAGTATTTATTGAATTTTGTCTAAAAGCCTCAGCTTGTGCTTTGTGGGTCTGATACAATGTGCAAATCATAATAAAATCCTTCAGCTTTGATTTTCTTTACTTACATTATAGGAGAATATAGGACATGTAATACATTAAAAACTTCATTTGTAATTATTGTAATATTGTTTCATATTGCAGTATGAATGTTATCGCTTTACTTGCGTGTGATTTATCATGTCTTTAGTTTCATATTGCAGTATGAATATAGGACATGTAATACATTAAACACTTCATTTGTAATACATTTAGCACTTACGGAATTTGTATAACTAGTTTTTATACGATTTGTGATTGATAACACTTGCATTGTCTTTTAGAATATGTGCCTTTCACTAAAGAGATATGTCTTGTGTGGTTAAATGATAATTCCATAGATGATGAATTAGAATATTATATCATGCTAGTCTAGAAACAATTGAGTATAATTATAGAAGATAGCAAATGTTTATAGAAGATAGTAAATGTATCATGATAATATTCTGGTGTAAGTAATGTTTATTTTAGGAATCTCCATGGTTTATCCTCTACTTTGGTCCTGCTATATGTAAGTAATATTTTATAATATTTTAATCATTTTCAGGACAAGGTTTCATGGGATCCTCAATATGAGATGTTTGTCAGGAAAGCCTTTTATTCAAAGGCAACCATTTGACTAAATGACATAATGAGGAAGGTGAGGTTAAAAGGGACTCGTCCTTCATGGATTGGTGAGGATGCCTGGAATGAGCTTGAAACTTATTGGAAGAGTGACTCGTTCTTGAAATTGTCCTCTCAAAACAAGGCCAATCGAAGTTCAGCAAGAGGAGGAGCAGTCCACACCTCAGGTCGTAAGGCTCATGTTGATGTAGCGCTTGAGCTTGTAAGTAATAAAGTCAATTTTTATTTCAATCTTTAATTATTTATACTATCAAATTTACTTTAATTTATATTTGTAGACCCAAGAAATTCAAAGGGATGTACGCCCTGATGAGTTATTTTTAAAGACCCATAAGAGGAAAAGTGGAGCATGGGTTGATCATCGTGCTGAGTCTACATACGTAAGTTTTAATTAATTATGAACTTAATTTAAATTGGTGTATTCATACCAAAAACAAATAAATAAGAATCCTTGGTTATATAGACTTCTCATGTACTGTCTTGTATAACTCGTGCAGGCACAATTGAAATGTTGTACTAAACTTCCCATGTTTCATAATCTGACACATGTGAAACTTAAGTTTTTCTTTAATATGTGGTGTTGGTTTCAACAAATGCTTGAATGGTTCTTATCATGTTTACATATTTATTTTCAAATGACTCCACGTTTACAAATTAATTTGGTATAATTTACTCTTTATTTGGTACAGTGGTTGCTATAACGGTTCTTATAAACCTATATTTAGAAATGACTCCTTTTTCTATTTTACAGTCCACTTTTAAGGAAAAAGCTGGAGATGATGTCGAGAGGTTAGATGGAGGGACCGTTTTTAAATTATGGATAGATTCTGCTGGGGGTCGTAGTCGTGGCCGAGTTTATGGAACATCGGATTTAGCTATCAATCTGAAGCATGGATCCACATCCTTTATCCAACAACCTCAAAATTCCCGCATATCTATGTTTAGGACATCCTTTGAATCAGAGAGAGCATCTAGAATTAGAGCTGAACAATTGGCTGCATCTACATCAGCTCGACTCCAAGAGGCTACCAAAGCTATCCAGACGTCAAATGAGATTGCTCGGAAGGCAACAGAACAATATCAAGCGTCTAATGAGTTTGCTAAGAAGATGGAGTCTGAACTGAATGCTTTGAAGGTATTTATCATGCACAAGCTTGATGCTACAAAGGGTCAATCTGCTAGTGTTGTCATTCGATCGTCAAATCCTCACTATGATGATGATTTAGATGACCAATCATTAAGTGAAGATTGATCATGCAGTGTTAGTAGAAGTAGTCTCGGATGTAAAATTTTTTGGACATGATTTTCAATGTATTCCGAGTTTTTGGGGTTGTTTTTTGTTGTAGCTATGACTACTTTTTTTTGTTGTTGTTTCAATCTATGTAATATTTTGATAACTCTTACTTCATATATGTTATATGTTAAAGCATAATGTCTTTTTGCTTCTGAATTTTATGTGTCATTTGCTAATTATCTATATTTTGTTTTATGTGCTTTTGTTCTTTGGTTGTTTTTTTGAAGGAGAAGACATGAAATTATTTATGATCTTGATAAATTGATTGAAGGAGAACACGACATGACATAATTGTCATCTATTGGAAAAGATGGTCAGCATCTATTGGAAAACATGGTCAGCATCTATATATGTGCTTTTGTTGTTGACTTCTTTAGCTTGAATTTTAAGCATTGGCTTCAAGGTAGCCTTGATTTAGACTTGGCTAAACCGAGACTACTGTAGACACAGCTCTTTTTGGCCAAAGCTAAATGTTAGCTTCGATTGTTTTAGCCTTTCCCCAACACCGACGCTACGTCGAGGCTAATTGGCTAGTAGCGTCGGTTTTTTGCCTTATAGTGTCGATAAATGGCCGAGGCTAAATACTGTATTTCTAGTAGTGTACCCTTTGACCATACTAGAGTTCGATCCAATATCTCACAGATGGGTATCGAACCAATTACATACATATATTAAAGGTGTAAGAAGAACAACCACACAAAATAACAAATACATTTATGTCTCACAATCTATCAAACAAAATGAAGTTGAAGAGTATGAGGCAGCTGAACCAGTAGTTAGCTTTAGGGTAAAACATAGTGAAGGAATCTTTTTATAGTAAAATATGTGTATGCTACCCATCGGTTATTTGAGAAATCGAGGGAATAAAATATTTATTAATAAAATAAAATCTTAATTAATAAGAAAGACGAAATTTTTAAATTAAAAAAAAGTTGTTATTGCAAGGACTCAAAGCATGTATGCTGAATTAGTTTACCCCTCGATTTCTTCTTAAACCAAGGGAATATGCTAATTTCTTGAAAAACAACATAACATAGCGCGTCATGGAATTTTTCCTGATTTTTTATTGAGGTGAAAACTTTGTCTTAAAATGTAATACACACACACACACACACACACACACACACACACACACACACACACACACACACACACACACACACATACACACACACACACACACACACACACACACACACACACACACACACACACACACACACACACATATATATACACATATATATACACACACATATTGTTGCACCCCAAAATTTGCCTAACCTTTTGCTTTATCTAGCTTGTGTTTCATTACATTCATTCTAGCATTATCATCTGCATTGCATTAACATGTGTGCAGGAGATCAAGAGGTGTGACTGCCAACAAAGGGCTACACAAGATTATGAAGCTATCTAAGAGGTTTATTCAAGTATTCAAGGGTTGATATTCTCATCAATAAAGTTAAGGATCCACAGAGAGAGTGGTTGAAGCCAAGAATGCATATCTCCTAACTTGAGAGTTGTGGGAAGTCATTTGATGATGTTAAAGCCATGGAGTTGGACTTGAAGCCTTGAGAGAGCTCATGAGAAGTATTGAGAGTCATTTTGAAGTCTAGGCGGGTCATTATGCAAGAGATATGAAGCTACTGCCAAGATGGGTGCAATTAGGGTTTCATCTGGTTAACCCTAGGTTAACAGATGATTTGAAGAAGGTTGAGACCTAGTTTCAAGGCCATGTGATCATGGATTGATGTATTAAGACGGCCAAGGGAT